TTTCTATTTTTTGCCATCATAAATAATTTTTCTCTAATAAGACCCTTACATATATAAATAAACATTTATAGAGGTTACAGAATATGAGGAAAATCCTTATGTAATGGTAAGTTTTATAGCAACACATTTTAAGTACATAAAAATATACATAGCAGAAAAGGATAGGGAAAAAAAGTATATTCATTTATAATTGGAGAAAAGTAAAATTAGCTTTTAAATAATAAAAATAATTATTATTCTATTATTTACATGGTGGGACATGGTATAGCAGAAGGCTATTAAAAAAAAAAAGGCCTATAATTCTAGCAACTAGGAAGGTTGAGGCAGGAAGATCACAAGTAGAGGCCAGCCTGGGCAACTTGGCAAGACTCTCAGCCACTTAATGAGACCCTTTCTCAAAATAAAAAATAAAAATGGCTGGAAATGTAGCTCATTGGTAAAGTGCTAAAGTGCCCTGGATTTAATCTCTACCCCCCACACACACAAAAGAAAAAAACAGGAAAAAAAATTTCATGATACATCAATTATATCTCAACAAAACTGTTATAAAAATAGCTAGTAACAATAGGTTTAGTTTGTAAATGTGTCAACCTAGTTGATAAAAAAAATAACATTAGGTTGTAGATACTTTGTGGTTAAAAGACTACAGATTATTTTCAATAAAGAATTAGCCAAGTATAAACTTTCTTTTCTTCCTATCTTAGTGATATTAAAGGAGAAACAAACAACATAAATAATTTCAACATTGAAATTAATAAAAATTAAAGAAGAACAACAATGAAATTTCACCAAGACAGCCAGGCATAGTGGTGCATGCCTGTAATCCCAGCAGCTCAGGAGGCTGAGGCAGGAGGATGGAGAGCTCAAAGTCAGCCTCAGCAAAAGCAAGGTGCTAAGCAACTCAGTGAGACCCCGTTTCTAAATTAAATACAAAGTGGGGCTGGGGATGTGGCTCATTATTCCAGTGCCCCTGAGTTCAATCCCCATACCAAACCCCTCCCCCCCCAAAAAAAACAAGACAATAAAACCTAATGGGCTAAAATGTCTTTCTTTTGGAGAGGAAAAAGGACAGATTAAAAGTGAAGATTACAGGTAAAATTTAGAATCAACAAAGTATCGCCAGGCATGGTGGTGCACACCTATAACCCCAGCTGCTTGGGAAGCCAAGGGCAGGAACGATTGCAAGTTCAAGGCCAGTTTCTGCAATTCAGTGAGACTCGATCTCCAAATCAAGAATAAAAAGGGCAGGGATCTAATTCAGTGGGAGAGCATCCCTGGGTTCCATCCCTAGTATCTTCCCCTCCAAAAGAAAGTAACCACAGATGCTCCTGAATGATGCTCACACAAATTATGCAAACTTGACCTCATGTAAAGTCTATACCTAGGACTTGTAACCAGATTTGGCAGTGTGGAATGCAAAGGAACGTAGGACAAAGCGGGTTCATGAATGCTAAGAAGCAAAAGCATGGTGTCCTACGGCTTCCAGAAGGGGAAGGTTTCTGTTGCTGATGAGGTCCTCATTCCCAGTGCGATGTTTCAGGGTTATGTCACCTTCTCACTCCTCTCCTGATGATGACTGGGAAGGAACCAAGCAATAGCCAAAATGTGGACACTGAATGAAAGAAAGCATGTGAAGCGTCACAGAAATCCGGCCAAATCCTGCCCTTCAGTGCACTGGACTTGACTTCCATAAAACGTTCTGAATGAACTCCCTGGTGAAAAAGAGCTACTGAAAGGTCCTGTCAAACTGAAATCCACAAAAACCAAGACTGGTCCAAATGCTATTTTGAAATGGAAAAGTCAGTAATACTGTAAAAAAAGAGAAGAAAGCTAAAAAATGTGTGCCACTTCCATTAATGATTCAAGAAAAGCTAGAAAATCTGTTTGAAGACAGATTTAAAGTGTGTTTAGCCCAGGGCATCCCAACAGTTTTAAAACTCATGCCAATGTTCAGTAGAGGAAAGCGAGCGGAGAGCCAGCTGGTTCAATAATAAAAGCAGTGGTAATAGATCTCAAAGAAATGTGAAAAATATTATAGAAAAAATGTGGCTATGTAATAATAAATCTTCAATCTTAATGAACTGGGTTTTTAAAGAAAAAAACTTTAAAACCAGACAGGTTACTTATTTCAAAAGAAAAAAAAGTGTCAGAGTTTAAAATTGCAAAATGTGAACAGCATTTTGCCTGGAGGTAACATGGCAGATTGTATATTGAAATCTTGGCCCATTTATCATTCAGAAAGACCATGGGTATTCAATATATTTCTAGCTCATATAAAATCCTGATTGTACAAAGCCATGTGAAAGAGTTATGTGTCAGGGGGTTGTTGCTATTAGAATTATTCTGACAAGTTTCAATTTCACTAGAGTCTCCTTAGAGTCAATACATTGATATTTAGAGGAATTAATCAAATAACACAAGTCCACTGGTCATGTTTTCAGATTCTGACATTGCCTTCATTGTAGCTAATATTCTTGTTAACATTCTATGGGACAAAAACCACATTCAAATCTGTTAGGATAACGCTACATATTTTGTGGTCCTTCAGTAACATCAGTGAAAGCTACCTGATCCTGGGGTGGTTAGCAACAGGTATTTCTGGGGCTCAGGTAAATAAAGATAAAGTGGAATGTGTTATTAGTGATGAACTGGAGCCAGCTGCCCACACCTCTTTCCAACTCTGAATTCAGAGGCAGCACATGGGTAGCTTAAAATCAGCCTTGGGAGGGGATTTACACCATTGAAATTGGCAAAAGCTAAAAATCAGGGACTTTCCCCCTTCTTTATTTCAGAGAGTTGGTTCTTAAACATTTATGACCACCCTACTGATTTGGGGTTAATGCTCCTAGCTAGTAAAATTGAACCATATCACTCTCCTAAGCTCTGTCTCCAGGAATATCCCATTAGTACCCCAAACAGAGCAAAATGAATCCGCCTTCCAACCCTCTTTCAGTGAAAAGCATCACATTTACTGGCTACAAACACAAACTTGAAAACCAACTTCCATGACTTCAGCTCCTTCACCAGGTTCCATCTCATCTTTAACTCTTAAAATCTCTCCCTCTCCAACCCTCTTGACTGTGGTCCTGTTGGCCCCCTTACCCATCCTCCTCACTGTTGCTGGGATGAGCATTTTAAAACACATGAAGATTGATGCATGCCTATAATCCCAGAGGCTTGGGAGGCTGAGGCAGGAGGATCACAAGTTCAAAGCCAGCCTCAGCAATTTAGTGAGCCCCTGAGAAACTAAGAAAGGCCCTGTCTCAAAATAAAAAATAAAAATGCTGGGGATGTGGCTCAATGATTAGGGATGAGGCCACTCTAATTTGCAAAGTAGGACTAGTACATTCAGGTTGAAATGATTGTTGAAAAGAGCAAATTATTTAAAGCAGTGAATGCCAAGTACCTGCAGCATTATGCAAGGCAAAAAATACATACAGGTTCCCTTGTGCTGAACAGAGCCCCAGGTGAAGGAAACCTGTTCCTCCACCATAATTTTATATATTCATTTAGCAACCTGCACTTTACAAAGTTCAGCCATCCTCTAAATGGAGAGTTGAGAGAAATAGATCTGGAGCCAGCACCAGGCCTCCTCTCGCTGAGGGTTCTGGAACCCAGTAAAGTCAGTCTAAGACCCAAGACTCCTTCTCCCATATCCCAGGCCTCTTTGGCGTCAAGGCCACAGCCCAGGACCCCAGAGAAAAGGTTGATATCGTTTACTCGTGACTTCATCATCTACAAGTACTGCAATTATGCAAATCTAAGATAAGGAATGAAGTGTGTATAAATTTATACTGCTTTCACTTGACAAAGGTCAAATGAAAGAGTATTAATAACCAGCCTTCCCTTCAGGGGCGAAAAATGCATTTTCTGGCTACCAATGAAGAAACAATGCATCCATCCAAGGTATTTATCAATTTCTGGAACAAAGATAAAGGAAGCCAAAATCCACCTTCCAGATTATTCTAGAGGTAAGGAATAAGTAGCTCCACTACTTAGAATCTACTGGCAGAGATTGCTCCTTGTCCACCCACACCCACTTTCTTTTTCTTCCTTAATTACACAACACTAACTTTATTCAGAGTGTCCCAGATAAAAGACAAATTTCTCAGCCTCCTCTGAAAATAGTTAGGACCCTACAACTAAATCCTGTTTAAGCAGTCACTTTTCAAGGAAAAGTCCTTTAAAGGAGCGTCGCCATTTGCCTTTTTTTTTTTTTTCCTCTTTACTCTCCTTTCCAGAACCTGGAATTGGGATGTAATGACTGCAGTTCCAGCAGCAATCTTGTCATTTTGAGGATGAAAACCTTGCACTAAAGATGAGAAAACTGAAAGAGAGAAAGAGTCTCAGTACAGGGTAATTTTATAAGGAAGCCACCAAATGGCCCTGAACTGTCTACCTGTGGCTTTCCCCAGCGCCAGGGGGCTGAATTGAGGACACAATGCATGCTAGCCAAATGCTGTACCACTAAGCCTGAGCTACACCCCCAGTCTCCCATTTTTTTTTTTTTTTTTTGAGACAGGGTCTTGTTAAGTTGTCCAGGCTAGCCTCAAACTTGGTATCCTCCTGCCTCAGCCTCTCAAGCAGCTGGGATTACAGGTGTGTGCCATGATGCCAAGTTTACCTCTGGCTTTTTGATGTGAGAGAATAAACTTTTATAAGATAAATACAGAATAGTTAGGCCCACCAGCAGCCAAACACAATCCCTAGCTAATATCCTGGCCTCCCTGGCAGAAGCCAGAAAAGCTGTGCATTTTCTGAGATACTCAAGAAACATGGTGACTCCAGAAAAGAAAGCACTTGGTACAAACTGTACACTCCTACCAGATTTTTAAGAATAATTCCAAAGCATGTCAGTGGAAGGTGATGATCTGTGGGACTTAGCAGAGTCTGGCAAAAGGAATAAGCCTTTAAAGTAGAAGAAGTCAAAGTGACCAGGCCGGAGACCCTGCATGGCTTTCTCCAATCCACCTGACCATGAGAGGGGCCCCTTTTTGTACCTCCTCCAGGTTGCAGAATTCCTGACGCAGGGAGATCTTCAGATCAGCACATTCTCTCCCACATCTCAACGCTACCAGACACTCCTTAGTCAACTGTGGGACCTATTCGGAGGACACAGGTTCTTAGTGGAGCAGTCTGTGGGAACCATGTTCCTGACCTGCCTAAAACTGCAGCAAAGTTTTACAATGCAGAACAGACCAACACCCACACACCACGACCAGAGTGCTCCCTGCAAGGGGCTTGAGGTTATGCAGGAACCCACTTCTTACAGCACTCAGGAAAATAAAGTGCTTTAACGGGGGTTCAGCACTCCTTACTTGATTGGCTATTACTATCCTGTACACTGAGGCTTAGAGAAGACGCTTAACCCCTCTAAGCCTCAGTGTTCTCATCTGAAAAAATGGATACGATAAAAGTGCCCAACTCAAAGGCAGATGTGGAATGAAATAAGTTGGCCTCTGAAGTAGTTAGGGCAGTGCATGGACATCAATTTATATGTACTATTAATACCATTGTGTACTATTAACGCCATCATTTTCTTTCCAAAGAGAATTACCTCAAAATGACTCCATCACCTCTTCTTTCATTATCAATAGCTGCCCTCTTTTCTCCCTTCTTCATATTTCCTGGATCGCAGTATCCTTGCCCCATTTAAAGGGCAATTCCCTTTCATGCATAATCTTCTCACTCTATGATGTTTAGAAATACTCTCTTTAAAGGATCACCAGTTTTCACTCAGTATCCCTACTTCAATTCACATGGTCATTACCATGTGGCAGTCAGACCTGCCAAGACTGCCAGTTGAATGGAAATGCACCTAGGAGTTAATAAGCCTTCAACCTTTACTATCAGTGGTCAGACCCTACTCTAATTCCATGGCAATTATTCCCCTGAGGCTCAAATGGTATTAAAATAAAACCATTTCACCAATGATTTGACTTTATAATGGGTTGAAATTTGGCAAAGACATGCAAAGTAAAATAGACTGTTAAGTGGTTCTTTAAAATTAAATATACCTTACAGAATAGCTCCAATAACATCTTCTGGCGTGCTCGTTCATAAGGGTCATATGGGAAGAGCCTCCGTCCTGGGTAAGCGTCATCCAGGTATTCACATGTGATGACAGACTCATAGATCAGTTGACATTGGCTGGTCTCCAGGACAGGAACTTGGCCAAAAGGGTGTTTTGTAAAGTACCAATCAGGCTTGTTTCTCAGGTTAATGTTGATAACTTCGTGTCTTAAAAAGCAATGACAAAAGAAGACAGAATAAAAATGTGTATATAGGCAGATGCCCATCTTGAAATAATCAATTTATAAAATTAAACTTTGTGATTATAGTAGTTTTTTCAAAAAAGTTCAAGTTTTGTATAAACTATATTATATCATTGTCTTCATTCCTTCAGTAAAAGGTGTTAGATGTTTTCTATGCCTGATCCCATTTGTTCCTCGGGATTCCCCACTTCCTAGGAAATAAGACTGGAGGTTGAATCTGGTGCCCAATGCCTTGTGCTAAGAAGTCAAGATCAGAGCTAAGCAGACTGACTCAGTGTTTGTGACTCATGGCATTAGAGAGTTTAGGACATTTTAAAGCTTAAAAATACAAATCTGGTGTTAATATGTCATGATATGTTGTGGTAAATGTTAACAAAGAAGAGCACAAGTTCAGGCACCAAACTGGACAGACTAGCCCAAGACCTTGGCCACACTCCCTCACCTTCTGTGCTCTGTGTCCTTAATTATAAAAGGAGGGTGATAAACTGTCCCCATCTCTTGGCACTGTTGTGATGATCAAGGAAGTGACTATGAATTGTTTGGGACAGTGCTTTGTTCATTAGTATACAATAAGCTTTTAATTCTTATTTTTAATTATAATTATTAGAGGTTCAAGCCTATAAAGTTATCAGAGACAGTCACATAATGTTTAAAAAGATTAAAGGAAACAAATGAATACATTCTTTGCTCAGTCTAATAAATTATATTAAAAGCAGCAGTGCTCAATCAGGTGACTTTTGCCACCACACCTCCCCAAGGAACATTTAGCAACCTTTGGAGACATTTTTTGGCAACAACTACTATAATCTAATAGGTAAAAGGCAGGGATGGTGCTAACTATCCAACTATTTTCAAAACAGCCCTTCCTCCCCCTCCTCAACAAAGAATCATCTGAATAAAAATTGTCAACAGCGCTAAGGTGAAGAAACTGCTTTAAAGAAATATTTACATCATCAGTTCCTAAGCTGCCAGTTTGTCCCCAAATAGGGAAATTATTGGGTTGCTATTATTTTTCTTTAAAAACAGGTAACCTTAGAGGCAATTAGATTTGAGCAAAAGGGAAGAATGTGCAAATACATGTCATAATAAAGCATCTCTGCACCTATCTCTGTATTCTCTGATGCAAATCTGAAAATGCTGTATGCCCCCTGTCCCCATGATGGACTCTTTGAGACAAGAGTCAGAGCCTGAAGTGACCCATTCTCTACGTTTGAACTTAAGGTTGGTGGACTCACAGTCCACATCCCAGCAAAGTTGCTTAACCTTCTCAACCCAAACCTCAAGGAGTTCATCTGCAAAATTCCTTCTAGAAGGATAGGTACCCACTTCTCAGGTATATCGGAACCTTAGAGACACCTGTTAGTAGCAGTTCTTTCTATTTCAATTTTTGGAATGGTTTATTCCTTCATTTAAGAAACACTTTTTTGAGTACCTACTATGTGCCGGGCTCTCTCCTAGGGTAGGTCCCTACCCTCCCAAGCTCACAGTTTTGGAGGACATGTTGCAGTAGTGTGGGGGCAGTGGCCGAAACGGAGGGACTAGGAGGAAAGATCGGTGTTGGATGCAGTAAGCACAATAAAGAACGAGAACAGGGTCCACCTAAGATGGCTGGGGTGGGGGTGGGGACCCCATGGAAGGGAGCAGCTGGAGAAGGCCTACATAGCCTTGGCTGTGCCCCTCCTAAACAAACATGGGGGAGGGAATCAGTTTGCCAAAGCCACCAAACATTCAGTTTGCTCTGCTTTGTCTGAAAGTTCCATGCAGGTTCAGGCCCCTGAAAAGAGCTCCGCCTTCCAGGAGGGTTGGAAAGGTACCCTTGCTTTGGACGTTTGGGTACCACAGGCGGTGTGGCCACCTCCACATCAAGAATCTGTGAAGAATGGGCATTTAAACCCCAACTTTCATTTTAAGGGTGTTTCATTTACTTTGCCTCCGGAGAAAAGGACAGGGAGCCCCGTCTAAAATCTGAGGGTGCCCTATATTTTAAATATTCCCCCCTGCCTGTGGAGCGCTGGGCTTTATCAGGGCAGCCTTGGCTCCAGCTCCTCACCTGATGCCTTTGGCTTTGAGGACGAGCCGTGTCCTGTGCGAGTAGGGGCAGAACCTCATGCTGTAGACGCGGATTGTACCTTCAGGTACTGGCCCTGGGGGACAGCTTCCTGCAGGGCGGGGAGGGGCAGAGGACGCAGAGGCGGGTTAGCTCAGTGAGGAGAGGGGCTCACTCCCCTCCAAAGCTCTGCGCTCAGCCCCCCAAGTCCCACAGGGACAGTTTCGCACGTGGCTTTGGGGCAGAGGAGCCCTCCAAGTTCCTCCTAGCTCCACTGACCTACAGGTTAACGCCTGTCAGCCCTCCCCAGAACCAGTCACCTGGCTCCCCCTGTCCGCGGGCCAGGGTCGATCTGGAGGACTCACCTTTCCCCAAGGACCTGGTCGTATCCACAGACATGGCGTCTAGGTGTCTGCCCTGCGCCCAGCGCTCACAGTCGTAGCCAGGTGGCTCGCCGCCGCCGCCGGCTCCAGGGACAGCTGCGCTCAGGAGCCCTCCTGCCCCAAATTCAATTTTTGAAAGGCTGGACTCCGGCGGGTTAGAAGGGGCGGTGATCTGGGGCAAGAGCTAGGATAACAACCGGGGGAGACAGAACCCCAGATTCGGAAGCCCAAGAATAAGGACAAAAGCGATTCCAAACCAAGCAAAACCCTGAAAAGTACCCACTTTGCTTTGAACATTCGAGTGCCATCTTTGGTGGGACCTCCTCCACGTCAAGAATCTGTGAAGGATGGACATTGAAGCCCCAACATGCATTGCAAGGGAGTTTGGTAAAAATCGACCAAGATAACACGTTTTTTTCTTTTCCACCCTCAATCCTCCCTTCTTTATTTAAGACAATTGGTCACATCTTTGGATAGTGAGTACAGAGTGAGTATGGCTTTTTTTTTTTTTTCCTTTAATAGGGCCAAACTTTTTCATGATACAGCAGATAGGAAGAAAAAGTTACATATTCAGATCTTGCATCTCCTTGAGAGTGAGTGCCAGCTAAATTTTGCAAAACACTTCACTTTGCCTTGCCCTAGTCCTGGCCCTAACTGCGAGATTTTACCCAAGTTCTGGAAACTAGCAGTTAATAAGAACAGGATACCTAAAGGCAAAGAACAATTTGTGAGCTCTCCCCACTGCAACCCAAATTTCCAAGAAGACTCATTCTAGTGGTGAAGAACACATTACCCACAGCCCAGCAGCACAAAGGTCACTTGCACAGCAACCAGTCACATGAGGTAGAAGAGGTAGCTGGCCTGGGCTTTGACACTGATAAGCTGAGATCCTGAATTTCAGGATGGAAAAAGAATTTTTTTAATTTCCATGACTGAATTGAAATGGAAATTGCTTGCAAATCCATTTTATGGGATTGACAGGTAATGAAGGAAAGAAAAGCATTGTGTCTTACGCAAAACTAATTATTTCCATGGACTATTTGTTTGCTTCCTAAAACTGCTCAGTCAGGCAACTAGTATTATTCCTATTTTACAAAATAATAAATAGCCTCAGAAAAATAAAATTATTTGCCCAAAGTGACCAGCTAGTAGAGTTGAAGAAATTTAAAAATCCAAAGAATGACTCATTGTCTTGGCCCCTAAAATGGATAACAATGTAGAGGAAAGGGTATATGTTCAGGAAAAGATGTAACACATAATGGCTGTTATTTTAATCTAGCTATCTTATTAAATGAAATAACAGAACCTTATTAAGAGGTTTATGAACGGGCACTTTTTGGCCTTTGGAATTCTAATCTATTCTGAACTTCTTATTTAATAGTGCAAACATTTTTTTGTACAAAATAAAAATCTTCAGAATAGTGACTCAATCGCATTTTTTACTGTCATTCAGCAATTTTATGAAATAAGCTTAGATAACAATGTGGCTTTATAAGAATTTGGGAATAGCGAAAATGTTTGGATAAATGCATAGATACTTAGAAATGCATAAATGTCAGAAATCTGGTGTTGAAAAAGACAAATTGGTTCTTGACTTGCTATGTTGACAACTTTTCATTTTGGAAGATAAAGTTATATAGCTAATTTCTATCAAAAAGGATAAATTGGATGGTAAAACAGAAACAGGAAATAACCATATCATGTCAGAGCTCCTGGTAGATAAAGAGTCAGACAAATGTGTCCCTTGCATATTTCAAATAGATGAGAGAAGTATACCCAGAAGAAGAACAACATTTCCCATCCCTCTCTTTACTCACCTACCTACACCAAATTAGACCTAACTTCTCACATACAGGTATACTTTTAATAAACAACATTTTCCAATGGAAGGCCCTAGGAGGAAAGTGGAACCTCAAAATAAAAATAAATTATTGGTAACATGTATTTGGTGCTTTATGTGTATTAATCCACTTAACCCTTAAATGGTCCTAAAAGTATTCGTTCATTTTAAAAGTTGAAAAAAACTGATGCTAACAAAGTTATAAACTTGGCAAAATCTTCATAACTATTAAGTAGAAATGGAAGGATTAAAGAAACACTCTCAACCAGTAGCGTAATATATTCTAGATATGATGGACTGAATGGCTAGAAAACATTCTTCCCTAGATAAATATTTTAGGCTTTTGGGTCCTTCTGTTCTCAACTACTTTATTCTTGTAGGGTAAAAACAGCCATAAATGATATATAAATGAATGAGGGTGGCTGTTTTCCAATGCAACTTTATGGACACTGAATTTCAATTTCATTCATATTTTTAATAGCATTTATTTTCGGAGAAGTTTTAGTTTCACAGCAAAGCAGAGGGGCTATAAAGATTTTCATATATCCCCTACCCCACACATGCAAGCTTCCCAGACTGCCAACATCCCAACCAGAGTGGTACATTTGTTACAATTCATGAATACATACTGACAAATTATCATTAAAGGTCCTTGTATATGTACATTAGTTGTTCACTATTGATGAATTTCAAGTTATAAGTTATCATTTGTATTTTAATGTTTTAAAATGTAAAAAACATTCTTAGCCCTTTGGGCTGTAAAAAAAAAAAAAAAAAAAAAAAAAAAACACCAACCAAACAAAAACAACAAAAAAACCCAAAACAGTTGGCTGGATCTGGATCTAGCTCAATGGCCTTAACTTGGACATCTGTGGTCTGTAGCACAATGATTGGATTAGCAATGGAGAAATTAATTGATTAATTAATTTGTAAATTAAAATGTTCTATGTCAGAGGATGTAGTTCCAAGTTCTTTCTCTTTATTCCCTCTTTAAAGGAAATAAAATCCTTTAGAAGAACATTTAGAAAATGTTGCTTATTAAAAGTGTACCTGTATGTGGGAAGTTAGGTCTACTTGGTGTAGGCAGGTGAGTAAAGAGAAGGATGGGAAATGTTCTTCTTCTTCAGATAGAAAGCAATACTTTTAGAGTTCTCAAAACCTGGAGCCAGAAAGGCAGACTGTGAGACCTGGCTTTGGCATTCAAGCCAGCTATAAAAGTTCTCTGACTTTCCCCTGTACAGTGAGAACATTAAAAATACCTACTAGATGGGTTCATTGTGAGTGTGGACTGCGATCATACAGGCATCATCAATATAGTAGTGCACCTCAAAATTAATTAAATACTAGTGACGAGGAACACATTTTCAATAGTATAGTACATTCCAGCTTTGTATCCCTATAGATGAGATATACTGTTATTCAGTTTTGCTAAGCATATTAGAATTAAAATTCAATCCACAATATTTGTTTCACCAGTTACCAGTTTAATGGCAATTGAGTAGGTTAAATGCTGCAGCTACATTTCAGTAATGTGGTTTTTGATCTTACCACTGAACATTATCGTTTCCCTAGAAAGATTTTAATTATGACCTTTAAGCTTACTTCTTTTTTAAAGATCCAGTAGGTACCTCTTTGGAATCCTCTTTGCAAACTTTCCTTCTATATTATTTCATGTTTATACTTCTATTATACCAATCCATTCAAGCATGAGACAAACTGTTATGAGGCCATCTTAAACCTGCTCCAAATTGGTTTCCAGCCACTTCAAATATAACTAAATCTGTTTTGAAAATGTAGGGATCCTTAATCATGGCTGATTAATGACTTAAGTCTTTTAGGAAAAGAATGCCACCACAAAAATAATTTCTTCAATTGTTTACATGATTTTACCTTGAGTAAAAGTAGAGTTCGTATTTTACAATTTTTCAAAAATTTTTGTCATGCCCACCACTGAGAGAAGAAACTAGAGGATTTTCCTTTTTAATATTTCAGAAGAGGGGTTGGAGTTGTGGCTCAGTGGTATAGTGCTCACCTAGCATGTGAGGCACTGGGTTTGATTCTCAGCATCACATAAACATAAATAAAATAAAGGTTCTGTGTCTATCTCTGATGAAACATTGGTGAAGGTTAAATAATTGGGCTTTAACTAAAAGCGTTAAAATGCAAAATTTTTAAAAAGTTCGCGATGCTATTAAAGAAATTTTAAAAAATATTTCAGAAGTGCTCTTCACATGTAAGATTATAATACTGGGTATTCAGTTATTGTTCATGGAGTTCATAGAGCAAGATAAATTAGGAAACAGGTTCTACCCTCAAATATATCTATAGTCATCACTTGTTTCTAGGAAGTGAGGGTCATAGGGAATTCTGTGCTTTAATGAATTTGTTTGGGGACATATTCAATAAGATCACTAAAATTATTAGAGGAAGAACGTCATCTTCCCACTTGGGAAAGTAGAGTCAAAGGAGACTTTTAAGTGTTTAAATATGTTTTCCTATACCTATGTCTCTTTACAACTTGAGGCATCAAAGAAAAAAAACTTAACATATAACATTCAAATAAGCTAAAGCAAAATTCAAGATTCTAACATGAGCAAGTCAAATATTTGTAAAAATCAAACAAAACACATTGAGTTTGGAAAAGAAATATCAATATCTCCTATTAAATTTCAGGCATAATAATGATGTGGCAAAAAAAAGTGATATAGTCATCCCTACATATTCACACAGATTTGGCCAAGGACTCTCTTGGATACCCAAATCCACAGCTGTTCAAGATTCTTAAATAATAAAATGGCATATTATTTTCACATAATCTTGCATATCCTCCTATATAAATTAAATCATTTTTAGTTATAATACCTAATACAATGCAAATGATATGTAAATAGTTGTTCTACTGTATTGCTTTTGAAATAATTATAAAAAGTCTGTCATATTCAGTACAGATTGAGGTCTTTCCCCCCCCCCAAATATTTTTTATCCAAGGTTGGTTGATTCTGCAGATGTGGGGCTCGTGGATAAGGAGGGCTGACTGTGCTATCATCTCCTGACTCGACCTCCAAATGCTAAGTTGTTGAATAAAAAGAGTCTGGGGGCAGAGACATATGTAATCTGTTACATTAACAACAGTAGTACTGACTCTAAAGAGTACTGACTGAATTTGAATCTCCTCT